CTTTGCTTACCTGACCTTACCCAGGTACTGGCTCCAGCAGGGAAGTTACCCAGAAGTTCAGCAGGTCTGAAAATATTTGTTCATGCAGGAATTTTATAGTAGAAGACAGCTGGAATATTAAAGGCTGGATAGCACCAAATATTCATAATAAATGGCTTGCCTCTTGACAGGACCCTTGGCCGGTCAAGGTACAGCTTTAATCCACAGCTGAATCTCTATAATACATTCTTGTGGCCCACAAGACAAGTGCTTGTGCCTACTGAGCCATCTCCCTGGCCCCCCTTGTCTTTTTTTTTTTTTTTTTTTAACTCATTTAGCTCAGTGATTGCTTATATTAATAAAGTCAATAGCATGCCTTTCAGTTTCCTTTCTCCTTTGATATATCTTCAGGGTTAAATTTCTTCCTTTTTCAGATAGCAAACATCAACAATCATTCATTCATTCATTTTATTCATCAAGAAAGGAAAACTGCAGTCCATAGGCAGAAGATATTTGAGGAGCAAATTATTTATTTACTTATTTGTTTGTTTTGAGACAGGGTTTCTCTGTGTAGCTTTGGAGCCTGTCCTGGAACTTGCTCCATAGACCAGGCTAGCCTGGAACTCACAGAGATCCACCTGCCTCTGCCTCCCCATTGCTGGGATTAAAGGTGTATGTAACCACCGCCTGGCAGGTACAAATCATCTGTTTGTTTGTTTGCTTATTTAATTTGAGACAGAGTTTCCTCTGTTTAGCCCTGGCTGTCCTGATGAGGTTCATATATTTCAAGGGTTGATTCTGTTGGCCAGCCTGACTGTACTGAGGAATGCCTAGGAAGCCAAGCCGGGTGCCCATGCCTGTGACCCCAGCCCTCTGAGGCAGTGGTAGAACTGCTGTTATTTCAAGGCCACACTGCTTCGCCTGACGGTTGGTTCCAGGTGAGCCAAGCCTGCAATGAAGCCCTGTTTCACCAGATAACAACAAACGCAGATACTTAGGTATGAGTGATGAACGTTGGCTCCAGCAAGGGCCCTTCCTGCCAGGCCTGAGGACCGGAGTTCAAGCCCTGGAACCCCCATGGTGAAAGGAGAGAATCAACTTGTGCAAGTTGTTCTGTGACCTCTACAGGAGCATCAAGGCAGACATGCACCCACACTTACACACACACATACAAAACGACAACAAAAATAAAATCACTTGCCTAGCACTTCTACCAGGATCTGGCTCAGTGGATCAAAGTGTTAGCTACTTAAGCCTGATGACCTGAGTTAATCCCCAGAACCCAGGGAACCCCTGTAAAAAGCCAGATGGCCTGGAGTAAGCTGCTCAGTAGCAGAAACAAGAGAGACTGTTTTAGCGAGGAAGAAGGCAAACGGACTCCCTAAAGTTGTCCTCTGACCTCCATCCACAGGCACACCAGTTGTTTTAGGACAGGGCATGGTAGTGCAGACCTGTGATGCCAGAATCTGGGAGCTGATGGCAGGAGAATCAGAGGCTCGAGGGCATCATCCTCAGCTACAATAGGGAGTTCAAAGCCAGCCTGGGATATGTCATGCCCCATCTCAAAATAAAGTAACATGTGACTGGGTAAGAAGACTCACACCTGCAACCCCAGCACTTGGGAGGCCGAGGCAGGAGAAATGCCACAAGTTCGCTGATAGCCTGGGCTACAGAGTAAGATTCTGTCTATAACGACCACAATCAAAGAGCCCATTCAATACAAATAAATACCTAAACTACACACAGTAAAGAGGATGCTTAGACAATCACTGAGGCACATCTTTCAGTATATAGCTGGTGGGCTTTCCCAAACCACCGGACCCTGGGTTTCTGACCTGGCGAATGGATTAGTTTCCTGGACTCATAATGCCCTGGTATTTATTATTAGAAGGCAGTACAATGTAGGGAGAGAAATCAGGCCACAGGGGAGGGTGGGGTGGGTGGAGTGGGTGGAGTCTGTACTGCCTCTTCTTCCGTGCCCAGATGTCAACTGCTCCATTATGCCATCACCTCTCGGCCACAACAGATTGAAATGTCTGAAACTGTGGGTCAAAAAAGATCTTGCCTCTGTTGTTCTCTTGGGTAAATTTGGTCCCAGTTATACAAATCCAAGTAATACATGTATCTAGCAAAAGACTTATAAGCAGAACATTTTTTAGTAAGAGATACATGGGGATGGGTAAAAGACATTTATAACAAAGTAGTCACAAAAGGCCGGGGGCTGGAAAGATTACTGTGTGGGGACTGCACACACATGGCGCACAGATACACATGCAGGCAAAGCATAAAATAGTAAAATAAAAATAAGTACACAAAAAGTACATACAATAAAAATAAATAAAACTTTACAACAAGTTAAAAAGCCAAGCTATTTTTATGAAGGAACAAGAGAAGTCTAGTTTAGTGACCTGGGCCTGAAACCCAAGCTTCTTAGGAGACTCAAGGGTCACAAGATCATGGCTAGCCTGAGCAATGTAGTGAGATCCTGTCTCAGGTAAAAA